TCCTTAAAATATTTGTCACACCCTTTCCTTCTTTATTTCCACATTTTTGAATCCCCAGTTTGTATTTTTTGAATCTGGGTGACTGAAATACTGTCTTAGATTCTCTGTTTTAAAGAGTCTCCCACTGTAAAAAGTCCCAATAATGGTAAACGATGCTCTTCCTTGGCTTAATTTTAGTACTGTCATCTTAAATTTCCTGTACTCAGATTCCTTTGCTAGGTTCTTTCTCACGTAAATATAGACAAATTATGTTAACTTCCTCTCCATGTCCTATCTTAATTCTCATTTCTCCCTTCAGATAATTGTCTCCCAGTGCTGTTTCCTTAGCTGAAAAACACAGCAAGTCTTTCTCCCAACAAGAAGTTCCCACCATTCTTTCTCAAGACCTTCTTGCCAACTATCTCTCCCTCTTGAACACCCTTTTTGTTTTCAGCTGTGCTGGGGCCTTTGATCTCAGCTGCCCTAGTCAGCCATCCTAAACTGCTTGATGTGCCTGATTAGCACCATGCTCATTGATTTCTGAATACGTCTTTCTAGAATGTCCTTGCCCTCTACTCTACCTAGAGAATTCCTACACATCCTTAAGAACCTCCTGTGTGAGGCCTTCCCTAACACTGAGGGGGTGGAGTTTTAGTTGGTCTTTCCTTTAGGGTTCCTTAGGACTTTATACATTTACTTGTTTAAAAAAATAGTTTATATCTGTTAGGATGCATTCGGTTGCTAATAACAGAAACCTTGACTGAACCAGACTTAAGCAATAAAGACATTTATTATCCCCCATAAATAGGACTCCAGAGAAGAATAGTCTTCAGGGCTGGTTGATTCAGCAGCCCATTATTGTCATCAAGGACCCAGGTTCTTTCCTTTTCTTTGCTCTGCTATTCCCAATGCTGACTTTAACATCAGGTGAAGACTAAAGTGTGTATGGAATTTCCTGGTATCCTAACCAGGCCCAATAACATCCTGAGGAAGAAGAGAGCTCATCGCTCCTCTCTCTCTGTCTTAGGATATCAAAGCTTTTCTAAGCTCCCTAGCCAGCTTCCCTTCACTTTTTATTGACTGGAATAGTCACATGCCATTCTAGTACCAATTACCAGCAAGGGAAATGGGAACACCCTTGGAGCTGAGGGAGAAGTCAGCTTACCCTCAGTACATAGCTGTGTGAGGAGGGGTAGTGGATAGCTGAACAAATCAGGGCTTTGTTGGGAAAAAGTGAGGGGGTGGGGAGAGATGCTGGGTTGGCAATCAACAGTGTCTGATACACTAATCAAGTTGAAATATAATATATAGCTTAAGGATTTATCTTCTTGTTTTAGTAAGGGGCAATGCTTCATTTATCTAGATTATTCATTTCTTCTTCTGTCTTCACATATTAACTACGTACATTTGCTTTAGACTTCTAAATTCTCTTCAGTATCATGTAGTATTTAAATATATACCCATGGACTAGTCTGATTAGATACATGTGTCTAGATGGTCTTGTTGCATTGTATGACTCCAGGGGAGTACCACTTCTACAGAAAAAGAATCTAAAGGGAGCCTGCTGGGGTGTGCCATGCAGTGTGGCAGTGTGTCTAAGTGTATGAACACAGCCTAGGTCTAAACATAGCCAGAGAGATTTTGACACTTCGTGTTTTCAAAACCATTCTGTGATCTGTTTCATTATATATAAAAGTAAATCCCCATCCATATTCCTCTAAGAAAAGTCCCTTTAGGAAAATGCTTCAGCATCATGTAGAATGACTGTCAATAAGATGCAGGGGGATTGGTTATAAAACTCAGGCTTACCAGAAGAGACTTAGGAAATACTCGTACCTTATTCTTACTGGAAATCAGGATCACAGATTAGGCAAGAGGAAAAGGCCTGGTAGGATTAAAATATTTTAATCTTTTAGGGTTAGGGCCATATTTTATTCATTTTTATAATTCTCCCAAGTCTTAGAGCAATGCCTTGTGTGTCTGTGACATGAAAGCAGAACGAGAGAGGGAGGGAGGGGAGTTTTTAATATTTTCAATGGGGAGAATGAAGTGAAAGCTAGTCCAGAAAGACAAAGCCTGTATTTCTAAATGTTTCTCATTTTGAGTGCCCATGAGGCTTTTTCTTTCTTCCTTCTTCCCTCCTTTCTTCTCCTACAAACATCATTGTGTCAGTTGCCTGTCAGGCATCTGCTATGGACGTTATACCACAAGCTCTGCAAGGACAGGAACATGACAGCATTCAGTGTGATGTTCCTTACATGTGACATTTTAAAATGTTGGTCATTGGGGCACCTGGGTGGCTCAGTTTTTGGGCGTCTGCCTTCGACTCGGGTCGTGATCCCGGGGTCCTGGGATAGAGCCCCACATCGGGCTCCCTGTTCCGTGGGAAGCCTGCTTCTCCCTCTCCCACTCCCCCTGCTTGTGTTCCCTCTCTCGCTGTGTCTCCCTCTGTCAAATAAATAAATAAAATCTTTAATATAAATTAATTAATTAATTAATTAATAAAATGTTGGTCACTGACCAACTACGTGAAGTTAGAGGATCTTTTCTTCTTGACTCCAAGGGAGTTTGTGGACTTAGAGAAAGTTGAGCTATAATTCTGCCTAAAGTGTAGCTTTTCTGAACGAAAAAGAGATGAAGACTAGCACAGAGTCTCTATCTTAAACAGTCTCATTGTCTAATGAGGGAGACAAAGCCAAGGTCTGCAAAGCAATGTTGAACAATGTAAGCCTTTATAAAATTGGGCCATAAAGGGTGTGGTTTAAACTGTGAGTGCTGTAAGAACTCAAAGATGAAGGAATTCATTGAGCACAGGCTGCATCAGAGCAGGGGCCCCCACAGGTGGAACTTGAAATGGAATTTGGAGGACTATGAGTGGTTTAGGAATGAGGTATATTGTCCAAGCTCTATCGTGGGGCTTGTATGCTGTTAGGGAGAGGTCAAGGTTCACTAAACGGCATGTCTATATTACAACCCTCCTAGTTGCCCAAATGCCCAGACATGTAGGGGCAGGGATGCATCTGGACTAGAGTTTTTGCTTGGAGGGGCAGAGCTCAGGGAAGTGTCATGCTTGTGAGAATATAACCTAGAACAAGGCCTTTGCATGGTATTACTTTGCCTGGACAAGCTGCCTCTTTTTCTCCTGGGAAGGTAAGGCCTGGGCTTGTGGCTTAACAATGAGAATGGTGGTTCGTGTCCATAAACTGTGGCAGCCAGTCTCTTCTTTCCTTCTGTGCACTGGTGGTTGGTGCTTTCTTTATCCTATACCTTTGTGGGAGAGTACAAACAACCCTTTTCAATAGCATTTTTTTTCCTACTAGCAGTCCTACTTTATCTGTCACCTGCTTTCAAACAATATTATGCTGGAGTGGCATTAATTCAAAACTCCATATTTGTTTCAACATATGGCTAAAGCGCTGAGTGGACATTTGGCTGTCAGAAGCATTGTCAGATTCTGTGGGTGGGTGTCTGGCCTCAGACATTAAGGATCTTTCCAGCCGCTGCTACTGCAGTGGAGGCGCACAAATGGGCATATGTGTTTGTCAACTGAGGGCACTGTGCAGCTGCTGTTTCCCCACTGGCCTTCACATTGTGTCAAGATGTTGCTTCCTCTCGAGACTTGGGGTGAGGAGAAGCAGAACTAGAGCCTTTTGTCAAGTGTGTTAATTTGGGTCCTCTGGGAAGCGGACACTGGGAAGAGATTAGTCATGTGAAAGATTTCTTGGGGAAACTTTTTTGAGGGAAAATGGGGAGAGAGAGGTTGGATGCTGGGACAGCTGTCAGACCTCAGTGCAGCTGTAGCCCCTGTGGAGGGAGGAGTGAGGGGAAGGCTGGGTAGGAAAAGGTTTAGGTCATGGCACAATTCTAAGAAAGGTTTAGCAAGGCTGAAAGGACATCCTTAAGCCATGGTCACCCTTCAGAGCGGCCCCACCTCCCTGCCTCGGTACCCCTACTGAACTCAGTCATTGGCTGGCCTCAGTGAATATGGTCGTGGACTCCGGGGCACAGTGGCTGAGACCATCGATCAGCTGCAGTCCTCACAGGGGGAGATCCGTCTGAGGGATGCTTCGTCATGACCATCACATCTGGTCCGCACTGGCGGCAAGCAGCTTACTCCATTTACTCCAGCGCACCTCTTGCTGAAAGCTGGCACCAGAGCTGATACAAAGGTCCAGGCAGGGCCATTTAGGTTTTGAGGACTTGTATGAATTTAACCACAGGGGCCCAGGGATAAGGCCCTCATTATGACAAATAATTGAGTTCCCTGCTTGGGAAAAAACAGTAGACACTTCATATTTACTTGTTGCCCTGAAAGCATATTGCAAAAATAAGCATCTCACCTTCTGAGAACTTTGAACAGTATTAATACAGGTTCTCTCTATTCAGGCCCCATGCAGATAGTGTCTTGGGATTCCTTTATTTATATCCCACTTGAATAGAAAACACAGGTCATAGAATCACTCTATGATTCTAATCACAGTACCTGCCAAATAACTTAGAAAATGAATCTTTCCTAGACAAAGAGTGTTGGCAAAGTCGTGTTCTTCACAGGCACCCTAAACCACTTGCATTGTAGATAATGTGTTTTCCCTGCTCTTTCCTGACTAGTTTTATTGTAATCATTTGATATGGCACATGAAAGTTTGCTCACTGTTCTATGGTGGATCAAGCGCTCATGGTAGTTATGTATCCATCACTTATTTTCTCTTGCTAACAAAGGTTAGGATACAGTATTTCTCACTATGATGGAGGAGTGGGCCAAATACTGAAGCTGGAATGAGGTAAAAATATTCTTGAAAGAAAATCTGTTTTTATTCTCACGCATCATTCTCTTTAGTTCTCTACATTGTTGCCAAAGTGATAGCACTTACATAAACATTTTATTGTTTTATTCTCCTACCTGAAATATTTCAATAGTTCTGCATTACCACTGAGTTAAAAATAGAAACTTTTTAGCATGACCAAGGAACTTACCTTATGACTTGGTCTCTGCCTCTGGCCTATAGTCTAGAGTTCTCAACCCCTCTCTTTTTCTCTTTCTCTCTTTTTATCTCTATCATCTTTCTCTCCCTCATTTATTCTCTTCTCACACCACTACAGACTCTCTAAATCCACCAGGTTTCTTAAGTCCTTCTGTATTTATACATAATCTCCAGTAGGTTATCCTGGTGATGGTTAACACATTAACACTACAATTTCAGTGACAACACAACAGAAGTTAACTTTTCACTCACATAATAGTCCAATGTAGGTATTCCTGGTTGGCAGAGGCTTTCCGCCCACATGCTATCTCAGGGACCCGGGCTCCTTCAGTCTAGTGACTCTGTTTACTTACAGGGCCTTTGTTTCCTCCCCATCTGTCAGATAGATGGGGAAGGAGAAGGGGAAAACTCACCTACTTATTCAAAGCTGTGTTCCAGAAGGGGCACATATCACTTTTGCTTATATTCCATTGGGGAGAACTTAACCAGACACAAATCAGGAAACAATCTCTGACTGAGCATCCACTTTCCTGACAACTATGCTACACATTGGTGAACACAAATCCTGGTGATCTTTTAGCTGTCTCTGCTGTTATGTACCGCCACCCACATGTGCAACCTGGATCCCAACTTATTCCCTGATTCAGCTTATCTGGACAAATCTTATATGACCTTTTAAGATTCCTCTAAAGCTTTGCATCATTCAAAGGGCTTTGGGGTGTTTTCTGTCTATACTCATATAACACAGAGGGCTTACCAGCTGTCATAGCACATGTCACATTGTATTATAATTGTTTGCTTAAGGGTTTGTATTTTACAAACTTGAGCTCTTATAGGACTGGGGTTGCATTTTTAAGTCTAGAAATGTCTTGTACAAAATAAGCTCCCAACAAATTATTAAGTAAATGAAAGGCTATTAGGTGACTAGATTCACAAGAGTGGTAAAACCTTCCAACATTTGATGTTTTAAAGAGTGGGTTGTGGATTTATCTTAAAACATATACTTCAGCCCTCTAAAGTTTCTTTGCTATTTATTAATAAATCCATAATATTAGCAGAGTTTACAGTTAGCAGATTACCATCAGCATCCTAACGTATAAGTGTGTAAACTTAAAAGTCAAGGATTGTTACTTGGGTTCAACTCTTCACTGAAAGGAATGTTGTACCTTTAGGATGCATTTGCTACAGGTAAGCAGAAACTTGATTCAAAGTTGTTTGAAAAATTAAAGAATGTATTGTATCACATAACGAGAAGTCTAGAAGTAGGTATCTCCTGAATCGGTTGATCCAGTGGTTCAGTGAAGTCATCAGGACCTACGTTCTGTCTGTATCTTGGTCCTAAGATTCTCAGTATATTGACCATTACCTTGGACTGGGTCCCCTCAAGGTCACAAGATATCTGCCAGCAAAAAAAATGGGGAAACAAATTGCCTTTGTCATATCCCAAAGGAGAAAACAAAGAACATCTCTCTCCCAACCATGGACTATAAGTGCTTCCTTTTAGTTTGATGGCACTGTTTTAGGTATGTGCTGACTTGTGGACCAAAAACTTTCTGGGAAATTTAATCCACTGACTGATTATATTACTCGGTATCTGTTAAAGAGCAAAGGTTTTCTTGAAGCATTTGGTTGGATAGAAGAAGTAGGTAGCTTTTCTCTCCAAAATTTGTGGCTCCATTAGGAAGGAAAAACAGGGGAATATATGCTGGATATTCAAGCAATAGTGTCCACACCACAAGTATCTTAATGCAATCTACTGAACTGGTATCTATAGAAGAGTGAACAATATTCTAAGCCAGGTAATGATATAACCTTTTCTCCTGCCACTTCTACAAGTTCAAAATCATATATTTAAAAGCATCCAATAGTGAACATTTTAGATTCAGTTCCTCCAATGCAATTGTTTATTCTTTATTCTAGGCCTCATAATGGGATTAATCTTACGATATGCTACAGCACCAACAGATATTGAAAGTGGAACTGTGTATGATTGTGGAAAACTGGCCTTCAGTCCATCAACTCTGCTGATTAATATCACTGATCAAGTTTATGAATATAAATACAAGAGAGAAATAAGCCAGCATAACATCAATCCTCACCAAGGCAATGCTATACTTGAAAAGGTAAGGATTCCATCTGATCATATATTTTTGTTTAAATAATTGAGCCATCATATGCAATGTATTAACACACATGTATATGTCTTTTTTAAACACCACACTATTGGAACAATTTAGTTGACTAAGGGGGTATACTTAATATAATTGTTTTGCAAATGACAGATAGATTCGATAAAAAGATAGTAATTCTTCTGACTCTGCCTTTCATGATACTTGTTTCAAGTTTTTTTTTTCTTTTTTAAGAGAGGGAGAGAGAGAGTGAGGGAGGGAGAGCAGAGGGAGAAGGAGAGAGGGAGAGAGAATCTTAAGCAGACTCTGTGCCCAGGATGGAGCCTGATTTGGGTCTCAATCTCAGGATCCTGAGATTATGACTGAGCCGAAATCAAGAGTCAGATGCTTAAACCAACTGAGCCATCCAAATGCCCCTACTTGTTTCAAGTTTTTACACATGTGTTCTAAGTGTCATTGTGTATATTGCCAGCTGGCTACTCAGATCAAATATCCCTTAAGTCAAAAGGAATATAGAGGGGAGTGAAAAAATTTGCACCTGTAAACCTTGATTTAGGATGACTGGCTTTTGGCTGCCAACACTGGCCACTTGGCTGTTTATAAATATACTGACACACAGTCAATCTCAAGAGATCTTCACTCCACCAGTTTAGTTAGGAAATCTTAGGTAGGAAAAAGAAAAATTGTGAAGTGACCCATCTTTTATTTTTTTAAAGATTTTATTTATTCATTTGAGAGAGAGAGAGAGCACAAGCAGGGGGAGAGGCAGAGGGAGAGGGAGAAGCAGACCCCCTGCTGAGCTGGGAGCCCGACATGGGAATCAATCCCAGGACCTCGAGATCATGACCTGAGCCGAAGGCAGATGCTTAACCATCTGAGCCACCCAGGCATCCCAATGACACATCTTTTTAAAATGGTTTTATTTTTGCAAATTTGTGAACTGTTTCAGTTATTGGAAGGAAGTTTCCTTCTGCTCTCAGGACTCTGGGTCAGAAAATAGATACGATTACCCTTTTTTTTTTTTTTTTTTAGATTTATTTTAGAGAGAGAGAAGGGGGCGGGGCAAAGGGAGAGGGAGAAAGTCTTTTTTTTTTAAGATTTTTATTTATTTTTCAGAGAGACAGAAAGAGAGAGAGAGAGAGCCCAAATGGGAGCAGCAGGCAGAGGGAGAAGCAGGCCCTGCTGAGCAAGGAGCCCAAAGCAGGACTCAATCCCAGGACTCTGGGATCATGACCTGAACCGAAAGCAGATGCCTAACTGACTGTGCCACCCAGGCATCCTGAGGGAGAGAGAGTCTTAACCAGACTCCATGCTGAGCACAAGCCTGCTGGGTAGGGGGGTGGGGGAGCTGGATCCCACCACTCTGAGATCAGGACTTGAGCCAAAACCAAGAGTCCAGCACTTAACTGACTGGGCCACCCAGGTGCCCCAAATTACCTCTTGTAGTGTATTATGCATTCTGGATCAGTCCTTGGAATAAGGAATAAGTGAATTTGTGTTTAACCATACAAGTACATGCTAAGAACCAGGATCTTATATGACTCATTCCATAACATTTTGAGTCAGACCTGAGAGCTTCCTTGATACTAGGGAAGTTTGTTTTAGCACTTTCACTCATATAGACTTAGTTTTCTTTTAATTTATAGACATTTGTTTCGATTTTGAGAGTTTTGGGGTAGGAGGGGAGATACTTGGTCTATCATTTTTCCTCATTCAAGACAGATAATTTTTAATTGTTTTTTTTCACATTATCGTCCACTAGCACATTTCTAGATTAACTTCCTCCTGGCACTTGATGAGGGCTCAGGAAAGTCAAACTAATTATAATATTAGCTTAAGTCAGACTTAGGAAAGTGAATTGAAACATGCAAAAAGCAAATCAAATAATGTATTTCTGAAATAAATAGGAGAACTTCTAGATCTTCTGCTGTTTTGGATGATTTCTTCCACATGATTCTTTCTGTTCACATGGGTAATAGAAAATTATCTATCTTGAAATAAGTAATTTTTAAATGACTTTGTTGGCAGCATAAGATTTTAATTAAAACATACTTTTCAATTTTACCTCTGGTTAACACCTGGACATAAATTATTTATTTTAAAAAACGTATTTTTTTTACCTCCTCACTCTCTTACCTATTTTTATCTGCATTTCTAAACAACACTATTTCACCAAACGGGTTGACCCCCAAAGATGCTGATAATTATCTCTGTTACTATAGCAATTTTTTTCTAGCAGGATTGTCAGTAACTGATCAAAAATTTTGTTACTATGTTATTGACACATTGATTCCTTTACCAGCAGCCAAACTCCAGTGTTTGCTTTTGAAAAACTAAGGCAAGAGTTAGAGAAAATGTCCAAGTTGCTGGGGCCTTCTTGGTTTTTTCATTTGGTAGATTATTAATTCTATACATAAAAAGTTCAATTGACCTTGAATGGCTCAAGTATTTTCTAGATTAATGTCTAAATCATGTGACTCATTTGTCGTACTTAGCATTTGCCTCTCCAGGCATCCAAGGTTGGCAATAGACAACTCAGTACCCAGAATAAATCCTTCCCTCATTGCTGGTGGAGAAAGAGGCATCCACTGGTACACTTAACCATATTAGATAACTTTAACTGGAAAGGATCTTGTTATAAATGGCCAGAGTATATTTTAATGCACATTTGTTTTTTATATGTCGTTTGGGGGTGGGGCACCTAGTCTGCGAAAATAACAAAAACCCCATAGTCTTTCTTTCTTACTAGGAATTCTCCAGTGCACTCAACTATTCATATCAATCAATTATTCAACCAGTCTAGGTCACAGACAAAAGGATTCCAAAAAAGGGTTTATTCATTGGATGGCCTATAAGGAGGTAACACGGTGAAATGGGAAAAAAACTCCAACTTTCTTATTTGTAAAGTGGAGAGACTAGAGTTATTTTGTAGGGTTGTTTTAATATTTAAATGAGATGACATATCTAATGAGTCTGGTTCCCATGAGATCCTTTACATTGCACTGCTCTTACTGTCTCTGCTATTATTACCGCTGCCACTTCTACCACCACCGGTACCATCACCACTGCACCACCTCTAACACCAATGCTATCATTGCCGCTATGAGATAATGTTTAAATGCTTCACAAATGCCAGGGATTAAGGAAATGTGTGGGTTTTTTTCATTCATTTAACATCTGTTGGGGAGAAAAGATCAATATATAATATATACCTGTATATAATTCAGTTCTAAATTATATCACATAGATTGTGAGGACTATAAAATACCATATGTCAGGCTTGTTTCAGTCATGCACAATACATATAGAAGTGTAGAAAAGAAAAAAAATATTTTCACTTAAAGATTTATGAAAATAATATTTTCCTATACATTATGAGCAACTGATGATCTCAAAACAACCTTCTGGGAAAATAAAACTAGATTGTATTGCTTTGTATTTATCTAGTTAATGTTTCCAACACCATCAATTGTTCTGCGGACCCAAGATATGTTTAACTAGTTTTAGCTGAGTGGGGCCTATATTCTGTTACATAATGGCTTTACATTAATTTGTTATGTAACATCTAGGAACACCAAACTATATACTAAGAATTTCTGAATTTCCTATCAGTGGGAAGTTTAAAACTTGCTTTTGAAGAGCAGGTGATATAAGAACTTTCTCCATCACTCATTCATTCGTTCTTTCAACACAAAGGAATTGAGTGAGTCCCATAAGTTTCAGTTCTAAAGTAATTGTCTCAAGGAGTTTAATAATGGATCAGGGGAAAACACAACAAATAAATAAATGAGTAAATACACCACAAAGCTGGTACTAAGGGAGGGAGCCAAGTACCACAGGCACTCAGGAAGGACAATATTATTTCTTATTAGGGTGATAGGAGAGATTTCAAAGAAAGATAGTTGAATGACTCCGGTAGTAATGACATATATAATGTGTAGAGGCAGGAGAGTCTTTACAAGCAAAGGAAGTGGAAAAAAGGGGTAGAGAATATTCCAAGAAAGGAAAACAATTCCAATTTGTTGAAGTATGGAAGACCAATGAAATATAGGGCTAGAAATAAGGGCAAAGTTTGATTACAGAAGGCCTTGAATACACACTCTATTTGCCAGTGTTGACAAAAGCAAAGAGATAGATCAATATATAATATATACCTGTATATAATTCAGTTCTAAATTATATCACATAGATTGTGAGGACTATAAAATACCATATGCCAAGCTTGTTTCAGTCATGCTCAATACATATAGAAGTATAGAAAAGAAAAAAAAATATGTGTAGAGGGTAGAGAGGGAAAGCAAGCAGACAAATGAGGCCTAAGCTTGGATGGTAACCAAGGGGCACATGGAAGAGAAGCAAGGAAGGAAGATGCTGTAGAATTTGGACCTAGTGGGTATGAGAAGGGAGAATGACTTACTCTGCTACCAGGCGATGTGGGTTCATAGAGGTGGTAGGGCAGAAATGGGGAAGTTAGAAGTTAGGGGAAGGAGCTGGTTAGGGGAAAATCACAGTTAGTTTAAAAATTGATGAATGAATAAATCGATTTATTATCATCACTAATTTATTATTGATTTACACATTATGTTTTTATAATATTGAGTTGGAGGAGTCAGCAGCCATTTGGCCGGACAGGTCTTGCAGATTTAGTCCACTTCCAAAGAGTTGTCAGCACAGTTAAATTTATACTTCCTATCATTCATAAATCAGTTGACTGTAATGTGAAAAGTCAAAGGAAACTACCCAGTGAAAATTTTGCCAAGTCTTCACTTCCTGTGTGACAAGTGACACTATCATTTGGTCAGGGAAGTTATTTTGGAGTAAGTTACCCTGCTGAGTAATCAGTCCTGTCTGTTGTTTCAATAAAGAGAATTGCTAGGCAGCAAATAGGTCACATTGAGGCTATTATTAATTGTGTTGGTTAATACTTTATATTTTAGAGATATTTTAAGGAAGTCTTTATAGCAACAGCTAATAGTGTGACTTTTATAAATAATCTTATATTTGCAGCATTAAAACCTCAAGTGTCTTAATTTATTCTCACTGTCCAAATTTTTCTAATGGTAATTTAGACTTTTTGTGGTTCAGAGTCTTAATTCTTATATATTTACTTGTGAACTATTTTTGTTATTTCCAGTCTTTCCCTTTGCTTGATTATTCTGGTTTCAGAGGCCGGAGGGCAAAGCTCTTCTGGTAACAAGAATAGCTTGACCAGAGTCACTGGACCATGAGATAAATATGCCCAGTTAATGCTAGGACCCTTTTGAGAAGAGCAAGAAAAGACAGGAAAGAAACCTCCTCCAGAATTGTTCTCAGCACACTGGGAGAAGCAAGCATCACAATAGATCAGCACTTGGGGTTTGGAGAAACATTTGTAGAATAGTATCAATTATTCCTCCATTCTACAGAGAACAGGGTTTCATGACCTATGTTTCTCTATTGTGACAAGCCTTGGATCATACAACGTGGACCTGGGGGAATCTCAAAGTTGGCCGTGAATGGGATAAGCTGTTTGAATAGACTTAGCTACTTTCATCTTAAACCTTACTATTGTTACTAAAGAAACTTATCTTTTTTTTTTCATCTTAGGTGTTTTTTTCCACCCTTATCCAATTTTCTTTTCAAAAAGTTGGCCTGAGAAATAATTTCAAAAATGTCTCAAGACTTTAAGTATTCCATTTGGGTTGTTTTTTCCTCTTTTTTTCCCTGTGAAAGTATTTTTATTTATTTAATTTTTATTTTTTCTAGTTGTATTGAAATAAAATCAACATGTAAGATTGTATTAGTTTAGGGTATACAACATAATGATTTGATTTATGTATGTATTGGGAAATGATTACCACAATAAGTTTAGTTACCATCCATTATCTCACATGGTTATATATTTTTCTTATGATAAAAACTTTTCACATCTACCCTTAGCAACTTTCACATATACAATACGATATTATTAACTATAGTCACCATCCCTACATTACATCCCCAGGACTTCTTTATCTTATAACTGCCAGCTTGTATCTTGTGACCGCCTTCACCCATTTCCCCCACCCTTCACCTCTCACCTCTGGCAACCACCAATCTGTTCTCTGTTTCTGAGTTCATTTTTTTAGATTTGGCATAAGTAAGATCTTATGGTATTTGTCTTTTTTACCTTATTTCACTTAGCATAGTGTCCTCAAGGTCAATCCATATTGTCACAAATGGCAGGACTTCCTTCTTTTTTATGGCTGAATAATATCTGTGTGTGTGTGTGTGTGTGTGTGTGCACCACATTTCTTTATCCATGCATTCATTGATGGACACTTAGTTTTCATATCTTGGCTATTGTAAATAATGTAAATAACTGTAAGTAATAATACTGTATGCTGTAATGAACTTGAAAGGGCAAATATCTTGTGGAGATGTTAATTTCAATTCCTTGAATATATACCTAGAAGTGGGATTATTGGATCATATGGTAATTCTAATTTTTTGAGGAACCTCCATACTGTTGTCCATAGTGGCTGAACCAGTTTACATTCCCACCACCAGTGCATGAGGATTCCTTTTTCTTCACATCCTTGCCAACACTTATATCTTGTTTTTTTGATAATAGTTATTCTAACAGATGGGAAGTGATATCTCATTGTAGCTTTGATTTACATTTCCCTGATGATTCGTTCCATTCGGTTGTAATTTAGTCATCGAATTTATTTTCTTCATTCATTTAGTCATTCAACAAATATTTATTTATTGGACATTCATCATATGCCATGTGCTTGTTTTAGGTGCTGCAAGGACAGTAGCAAACAAAACAAAGTCCTTGTTCTCATGCAGCTTAGACTCTAGGGTAGAGATAGATAAGCGACAGTTTCACACAATCATTTATAATGTAATGTCAGGTAGAGATGTGCTGTGAAGAAAAGTTAGCAAAATGAGAGGATGAGGAATGAAGTGTATTTAGGTATGTTCTGCAGGAAAGGCCTCACTGAGGAGGTGAAATTGGAGCTGAGATCTGAATGAAGTTGGGAGCGAGCCATGCAGATGTGGAAGAAGGAATTTTCAAAGCAGGGGCAAGAAAAAAATAATAACATTAGATGTCTTTGCTTTGCTAAGTCATTTTTTCCCTTGCCAGATCTTTGCTATATTTTTCATCAATATTCAAGATCATTTTGTGTATACCAAAAATCCTGGAAAAATTCTATTTGTTGTGGCAGATAAGGTTGGAGGAGATGAGGAGACATTGACTTGGAATGGGGAGTGAAAATGCACAAAATGCAGAATTAACAGGAAGCCTGGCAGGCTCTACTTGACGTTCTAGCCTATTTTTCAGGCTTACCTTTAGAAGGCACAGCCCAGCAACAAGGAGTTATTTTACTAAGTAAAGAAGTCAAACTCTCACTCTTTGCAGATGATGTGATACTTTATGTGGAAAACCCAAAAGACTGGTGTAAGGTGGTATCTCATTGAGGTTTTGCTAGAACTCATACAGGAATTCAGTAAAGTGGCAGGATATAAAATCAATGCACAGAAATCAGTGGCATTTCTATACACCAACAACAAGACAGAAGAGAGACAAATCAAGGAGTCGATCCCATTTACAATTGCAGCCAAAACCATAAGATACCTAGGAATAAATCTAACCAAAGAGGCAAAGAATCTGTACTCAGAAAACTATAGAATACTCATGAAAGAAATTGAGGAAGACACAAAGAAATGGAAAAACATCCCATGCTCATGGACTGGAAGAACAAATATTGTGAAAATATCAATACTACCTAGAGCAATCTACACATTTAATGTAATTCCTATCAAAATACCATCAACTTTTTTCAAAGAAATGGAACAAACAATCCTAAAATTTGTATGGAACCAGAAAATACCCCAAATAGCCAGAGGTATGTTGAAAAAGAAAAGAAAAGCTGATGGCATCACAATTCCAGACTTCAAACTCTATTACAAAGCTGTCATCATCAAGACAGTATGGTACTGGCGCAAAAACAGATGCATAGATCAATGGAACAGAATAGAGAGCCCCAAAATGAACCCTCAACTCTATGGTCAACTCATCTTTGACAAAGCAGGAAAGAATATCCAATGGAAAAAAAACAGTCTCTTCAACGAATGGTGTTGGGAACATTGGACAACCACATGCAGACGAATGAAACTGGACCATTTCCTTACACCACACACAAAAATAGACTCAAAATGGTTGAAAGACCTAAATGTGAGACAGGAATCCATCAAAATCCTTGAGGAGAACACAGGCAGCAACCTCTTTGACCTCAGCTGCAGCAACTTCTTCCTAGACACATCGCCAAAGGCAAGGGAAGCAAGGGCAAAAATGAACTATTGGGACTTCATCAAGATAAAAAGCTTTTGCACAACAAAGGAAACAGTCAACAAAACCAAAAGACAACCAACAGAATGGGAGAAGATATTGGCAAATGACATATCAGATAAAGGGCTAGTATCCAAAATCAAAAAAGAATGTATCAAACTCAACACCCAAAGAACAAATAATCCAATCAAGAAAGTTGAAAATAGTTGAAAATAGAGCTAGTGTACAACCCAGCAATTGCACTACTGGGTATTTACCCCCAAGATACAAATGTAGGGATCCGAAGGGGTATGTGTACCCCAATGTTTATAGCAGCAATGTCCACAATAGCCAAACTATGGAAAGAGCCTAGATGTCCATCAATGGATGAATGGATAAAGAAGATATGAGATATATATATATATATACACACACAATGGAATACTATGCAGCCATCAAAAAATGAAATCTTGCCATTTGCAACAACATGGATGGAACTAGAGGGTATTATGCTAAGCGAAATAAGTCAGCTGTAGAAAGACAAGTATCAGATGATCTCACTGATATGAGGAATTCTTAATCTCAGGAAACAAAGGGTTGCTGGAGTGATGGGAGTAGAAGGGATGGGGTGGCTGGGTGATGGACATTGGGGAAGGTATGTGCTATGGTGAGTGTTGTGAATTGTGTTAAGACTGATGAATCACAGACCTGTACCTCTGAAACAAATAATACATTATATGTTAAAAAAAAAAGAAAGAAAGAAAATAGTAGGAAGGGAAAAATGAAGGGGGGGAAACTGGAGGGGGAGACGAATCATGAGAGACTATGGACTCTAAGAAACAAACTGAGGGTTTTTTGGGGGGATGGGTTAGCCCAGTGATGGGTATTAAGGAGGGCACGTATTGATGGAGCACTGGGTGTTATAAGCAAACAATGAATCATGGAACACTACATCAAAAACTAATGGTGTAATACATGGTGACTAACATAACATAATAAAATAAAATTAAAAATAAATAAAAGGCAGAAAAGTGATACATACAAATATCAATATGGAATTAAGAATCAGTGATGCGAGAAAGTCCATATTTACTGAAGAGCAACATTTTCCTTATATTGTACAATGAAATATAATCATGGAATGTAAATTGTGGGATGTAATCCAAAAGCAACTTTATATTTGTCTCCTAATGTCTTTTTTTTAAAGGATACTCACTGGGGTAAGTTTTTCCCCTTACCAGTGAATTAAAACTCTAGCAGGCTTTATGATATTTCTGAACAGTCTTAGGCAGTAGAAAATTGCTTAGTTGCAGAACAGTCTCAATTTAGCAAATAAAAGGCTCAGTCTAAAACAAACAAATAAAA